CTGCAAGAAAAATAATAGAAGAGATGGCTGATAAATCAAGACCAGGATTTTTCTCTCATCTTTCATCTAAAATTGAAGTGAAGTGCCATGGTTCAGGTCTGAAGCGATAAAACAGAGCCTACGGGAGACAATAAATAAGGACTTTTAGCAAACAAAAAGGCTTGACACCAAAGTCATGGTGAGAGATATTGGCCCGAACATCAGAACTGTTGGAAAAAGGGCAAATGTGAAGCCCTGAATATAACTGGTTATATTGAAAAAAGAAAAATATGGCCTCTACATAACTCTCGTTGTTCCACAACCGATTTTCTTTATAAACTAAGGGACAATTTGGTATTGAAAAAAAAAATTCAAGCAGATATGCACATTTAAAACTGAGTAGCAACGAAATGCTGTATATATTATATAAGACAAACATTGATGAACTGAAACATTGACCATCCTTCTGAAAGCAATGATCAGTGAGCACAGGGGAAATTGCACATATAATTACTAAAGGGAAAAAAAATCATACGGCATGCGATTTTTTTAAAATTATTATTAGTATTACTCCCATATGACGTATGACTAAATTTTGGCCTTTGAACAAATATTTCTGCATCTTAAAGCTGAAGTGTGTAATGTTTTTCATGTTAAAACAATCTCCTATACCAGCTTACAATATGAAATGCCAAATATGTCTTTAATAGGTTGATTCCCCCCAAAGGTGTAAACACTGTATAGCTCTGTATTGCCATTTAAAACATTGTTCCAATCAATGGAACAACATTGTTCCAACCAAAGGTTGTCTTCACAATTCTGATGGGTGACCCTTGTGCAAGAATTACAAACAAAAATGCCTGGGTGTTTTTTTTTTTTTTGTAACTCTGTATGCTGTAATCAGACACTGTGAATAAATGACACTGAGACTTTCTGAGCAAAAAGCAAGCAAACGTACCATGAAACAACACTAAAGTGTCTTCAGAAGCCAAACGATAACTTTGTGTGAGAAAGAAACCAAATTTTGCTCTCCCTGATGCATTCTTGAGAAGAGTAGATCTTTTCAATGAATTGGTTGATTCAGTTCACAAAACCAGTCGGAGTGATTAGTTCATGAATCAGCTGACTCAATGAAGCAGACTCTAGTGAACAGCTTACTGGCGGAGAAGATTCAAGATTATCAGTCAATGACTTGAACTTCAGTTTGATCATCACACAAAGTTATCATATGCAAGTCAGGTTTTAAAATTTTGGCCCAAGTTGGAAGTCTGCTGCAATTGCAATTTTCCAAGTAGGAAGTTGGAAATTCCAAATTGAATGGAATGCAGCCTGTGATATTACTGGGTATTTTATAGAGTTCTTTCAGTACCATTTCAAATTTGTCTTAAATAGCGCATTATTCCACCTGAGGGTCAGATGAGTCAGATGTCAGATGACTGAGAATTTCAGGAAGATTCAGTGAGGCCATCTGCAACTGAAAATAATAACCCTTCTCTCTCATCATTTTAGTATAAAATCTCATCTCATAGTCTCAGCCTCAGACGTCACGCCCACGGACCGTTGGCTGAACAATGTCTGATGCATACGGCACACAAAATTGGAAACAATTTGGGAGTTTTGAAGTCGTCATCGGATTGGTTCAATTATCCAGGATTTCCGGGAGACGTGCGTGTCGCGTTCTTTAAAGTTCCGCCTGGAAATAATATGCCGTGACGCCAAACCCCCTCATGTTAGAAGAAAGCCGTCATGTTTGCAGCTGTGATAATGAGCGCTTATCAGGATCAACTAAACGCTGGATTTTTAAAAGTATGTGAAATATTTAAAGTTTGCGGCATGGAATCTTTAAAATACGTCCAAGAGTTTTTTCAAACGGTCTGTTATTGTGGAGACATTTCCACACTCCTAAACATGACGTGGCACAAATCGAAACGTGATTGGTTGCTTTATCTGTCAGTCATATGGCCTCTTGGGCGGTTCTTGCCATTCAAAGCGGCCAAGGTTCCCAGACCTTCTGCCGTCAGGCTGAAGGTCTGGCTATGCGAGACTAAGGCAACCATTACTATCAGTATTGCTCATTCTTGGTGATTTGAACTTGACCCTCAGGTATTAAACACAAGCAATTAACTCATCTTGCAGTTTGTGCTACAAGCATTAATAATACCTCAAATCAAGCAGCTCGATGAGGAGACGTCTTCAGAGGTCTAACGACTATCACATATGAGCTCTTTTGAAATGGGCCAGTAAAAAACACCTATCATCAACACAGAACACCCTAGCAAGCGCATCCATAACACTTCAGAAAATGTAAAAATGTAGCTTCAAAGTTTTTATTCAAAATGTTGTCGCATTTCTTGTACATCACAATAACTTTAAATCACAAAAACGGCAACTAAATATCTACAGCTGCCTTTAAATAAATGTCTGGGCACACACAGCTCTTTATGGTGTGAACCAAACAGATGCAATGTGAAAAACAGCTGTTAGCAATTAATCCCCACAGGAAATAAGTGAATCATATGGACAGATGACCTTTGACCCATCTAACACACAAATACATATCCACTCAGCCATAACTTGACGATTGGTCCTTTCTGGACCTGACGTCTACTTAGTCGCTGTCCTCACTGACAGGCCCAGAAGGGATCTGCATCTACAAAACCCCACAAAGAAAGCTGTGTTTTATTATATTGGACCATATTTAAATTTATTCCACAGATTCTCTCAAAATCAGCACAGAAGATGCACAAAAACCGTCTGCAGATTCCATCTGATCCATCTCATTGGGGAATCTAGGTCTAAATACTAAGCGGAAATATTTTCACTTGGGTCAGTGTCAAAAAAGAAATGAAAGCATACAAAACAAACAAACTTATAACATATTTTATCTTCTAGAATGTTTTTATATAATTTTTTAAAAACTTAAAATACATACAATAAATAAAATAAATCTGTATTTTAAGTAAGTTTAAGTAAACAAATAACGGATTTTACACTCTGTGGAATGTTTCGCACATTTCTGAAACATACTCAAATAAATGTATACAATAAATAATAATATATATTTACATTTTTAGGTTTTCAATGTGATTAGATTTTTTTTTTTTGTCATACTGATCAAATTTAATAATCTCTATTATTTAGTAATTCATTGCGACTAATAGGAAACAAGAAATGGATCCAAACTGATCTTTCTCTCCTAATCATTTGGAACATTTAGTGTCTGCTAAACTGCTGCAACGATTAAACACAGCGAGTCTCTATAGAGAGCACATCAACCGTCTGGCGTTCATAATGAATGTTAGCAATTAGATATGAAGCACAACAGTCTCTCAGCTTTGCACAGAGCTCATATGCACAATCTCCCAGGCCAAACTTAAAACCCCAGAGGAAAGAGGTCTCATCAGTTTCCTGTTCTGCTGAAAAGCTATTAGGATTCAAATCGCAGTGTCAGCGGGAACAGAGCATTTAGATTCACAAACTGGGGGAATATGGGTTATGAAGGAGGACCCTCAGGCCACGTGAAAACGCGCCGCCCCGGTGTTGATTCCGAGACGACTGAGGACCCAGCGTGAGCGCCTGATCTCACACTACAGCATCTGGTCTCGCTCTGCCTCCATTTACACCATCTGCCTTAATAGAAACAGACAGCTACAGAAATGAGCAATCTGCCCCTCCATCCTCTCTCACATTCCCCCTCACTCCATCTCTAATCAACATGATGGTCAGCGGAAAAACCCCATCACGCTCACAAAGACAGGTGCAGCACAAAGCAACTTACAGTCTAGGAAATAGGTGTTTTAGCAACTCAATCTGGTTCAAAATTAGATGCAGTTCTGCTGTGAACTGTGGTTTTGGACATGACAGTGATTTTCAACCTTCAATGACTACAAAGAAACAATTCACTTAATATGTGCCAGCTATTAGACCTTTCAAAACCCAGCAGATAAATATTACTGAGATTTAGCAATGATGAACCAGAAAGCAGACATGCACTTTTCAGAAAGAGGCTCTTATACAGGACAATAACATGACTTCTTTTTGGGGTCGCAAAACAATGGGTACAATGCATCAATCTGAAAATGTATTGCAGTTCATCATGCATATTGCACAAGGGTACTCTAATCAAGGATGTCTGAAAATGTTGTTAGATTGCAGTCTTTCTAAGCCATTTTAAGGGAATTGAAGTCTCTCACAGCTCACACAGAAAACAGGAGTGGAAATACAGAGAATAAAGCTAATCTGAACTATCAACACAATATGACAACTAAAGCAAGTGTGAAGCAGGGTTATTACAGTTAACTAAAACCATTTAAAATTGCTACCTGAAATAAAATAAACATTAACCGAAATAAAATATTAAAATACTTGCTCCTTCAGTCTAACTTTATGTACTAAAATAGAAATTGAAACTGAAATAAAAATGAATCAAACAAACACAAATAATAATAAAAATGACAAAAATACAACACAATTTGAAAGCAGAAAAATATTAAATTTAAAATTAATCCAAAATATTAATAAAAAACTACCATAGCACCTCAGTGATACTAAAATAACACCCATGTTCTGCTTTCAGAGACATAACATAATCACAAGCAATTCCAATATTACTCACTTGATTTCCTTTTAAATGATTGTATATGTTCATCTGACCTAAACAAAACTAAGATGACAGCTTATTGAAGCTCGCAGCTTATTGTTGAATCGCAAAGTAGACTGTTGTCCAATATATAGCAGCATTCGTGTTTGGACTTCATTTGAAAATAAATAAAGAATAATAAATAATCCAAGTATACTAACTAGAGTGCGTCTTTACACATGTGATGAAAAATGTACGCCAAAAACATAATGAAAACTCTCTCATTGAGGACTTCTGACACATTTGATCGACTTACTATATTTTTGAACTACGACCTGGAGTCCCAAACAGAGACTAAGAGTGACAGAGCAGTACATGAAGCCAGTCTCGCCCGTGTTTGAATCATGAACCGCGGTGTGACAGCAAAAACAGGAGCTCTGACCTGCTGGTAGTTCTCATCTTGCGGTTTAAACGTCTGATCCAACGGCTGAAACCTTAGATTCACGTGAGGAAACTCATGAAGCCAGAAAGTCCACCAAGGAGCGATATAATCCACCCGTGCAGACGACATCCTTCAGCAGTCGAGGAGACGAATAAATCACTTTCCCGGAGAGAGAGAGAGAGAGAGACGGTCGGACAATTTGGGTGGTTCTTTCCCGGTTACTCTCCGCTGTCTTGTCTCCTCAAACAAAAGCCATGGATTTAGACATTAGAAAGACTGAGTACTCGAACAAAAGTGCTGAAAGGGACATAAGAAGACCTCTGAATACTTCCACCAAACCGCAGCCCGTGGGAATTCACGGGAAATGTTTAATTATTGCATTAAATCCAGGTCTCGTGCCGCAGCCATTCCTGCGCGTGCTGTGCGCTCTGAGGAACTCGGGCGCGAGCTTGAACGAGCGCACGGATGGGACTCGGGCTCGCGCCTGAATAGAAGAATGAGGATGGACGGAGGAGCAGTTTCAGTTTGGTTGTTTGTTTTTTTTGTAATGGTGGCCTAATTCTGTTGATAACGAGATTCAGCAGAGATTTAAAATAATTTGCATTAATGCTTTTGGAGATTAGCTTTAAACTATCTATTTGAATAAAATCATTTTACAATGATATGCCGAGTTTAGGCATTTATTTGAAAATATCTAAGGCAATGCTGCTATCTATTGGGCAAGTCGAGTAAATGCAGACACTGGTAGAAGATCAAGACGCGCATAAAGAACGTTTCACATCAACGGTGCCTTCATGATTCTATGGAAGCCCATTTCCGCGACTGAATAAAACAATAAATAAAAGGTAATTGCGACTTTTTCCTCACACAATTCGGACTTTTTTCCACAGAATTGTGAGATATAAAGTCAGAGTTATAAAGTCAGAATTGCGAATTATAGTCAGAATTGCGAGATATAAAGTCAGAGTTATAAAGTCAGAATTGCGAGATATAAAGTCAGATTTTTCAAGTATTATATGTGATATAGAAAGTAAGAATTTCAAACTTAAAGGTATCGTATAAAGTCAGAATTGCGAGTTATAAAGTCAGAATTGCAAGATATAAAGTCAGAATTGAGAGTTATAAAGTCAGAATTGCAAGATATAAAGTCAGAATTCGGTCTTTTTTTCACAGAATTGCAAGCTATAAAGTCAGTTATAAAGTCAGAGTTATAAAGTCAGAATTGCGAGATATAAAGTCAGAATTCTCACTTTTTTTCACAGAATTGCGAGCTATAAAGTCAGAATTGCGAGATATAGTCAGAATTGCGAGCTATAAAGTCAGAATTGTGAGATATAAACTCGCAATAGTTTATCATAAACTCCAATTTTGAGGGGGGGGGGGGACTGATATGTTCTCAGAATTGCGAGTTTATATCATGCAGTTCTGAGGAAAAAAATTTAGAATTGTGAGATAAAAAGTCGCAATTACCTCTTTTATTTTTTATTCAGTGGCGGAAACGGGCTTCCATATGATTCAGTCCCTCATGATTCATGAACACATTAAAATACTGCAATAAAAAGCTGACGCAAACTTTTACAAACAAATCAACAAAACTAGACTCCTCACTATGAAAATTAATGCTCCATTGATTTTCAGTGAGGTTATTCTTCAATCTTCTCTAAGCTTTTTGTATTCTTTTTTCGTTTTATTATACATTTAACAAGCAAAAAGAGGTCTCTAACACTAGCTTGCTCTATTCTGTTTTCTTTTTATATAATAAAAAAAAACTTGCTACGTGTACTGCGTTAAGCTAGCCGAGACTTGTTATAGCACTTGCACATCATTGCTCTTTTGCTGACTTTGCTTCCATCCATTGTCCTCATTTGTACATCACTTGGATAAAAGCATCTGCTAAATGACTAAACGTAAATGTTATTTTAGATGTGAATGTTTTTAAGATAATGTTCTCATGTTGGTTTTGTTAGGTTTATAAGATCTTATAGAATCATGAAGATCTTAAAATGTCAATCATGTTGTCATGGTTTTGCACAGTAAACTTTTTCTCCTAAATTTGTTGAACTATCAGCATTAAATTCTTAACTACCACCTTGTAGTTTCATGACCTTGAACAGAATGCCATTAATTGGCAAATTCATTTAGTTTGAGATTACATAAAGCAATTTCTAAACATTGTTTGAAAAGGTTTAAATTCACCAATTGAAAATGTCATCCATTTGCATGCAATGACCCACCAATGAAAAACTAACCTGATAAAAGGCTACATTTCAAAGGTAGACATACTGAATACTCCATTAGAGGCAAAAGATGTATTCGCTTTATTACATCTACGTTTCATAAATGTTTAGAGTGGCTTTATATATCACGGCCTTTCTAAAGTTAAACTGCAGTAACTCTGCATGAAGTGTAAGTTTACGAGGGTATTGTTTGATATGGTGCAAACCAATGCTTTGACACACTTCATTAAAGGTCTTAAATGAACAAACATTTTGACCAAAAAGCCAACTTTGAGGTCAAGCAAAATTTCCCTAAAAGGAACAAAGTACACAACCATTCAAAAAGTTAGGGTCAGTGCGATTTTATAACGTTTGTGGAAGAAGTCTTATTCTCACCGAGGCAGCATTTATTAAAAAAATATATATATATCGTAAAACATTACAATTTAAAATAAACATTATATTTTAACATTTAAAAATGTAACATTCAAACTTTCAGCAGCCATTACCCTAGTCTTCAGTTCTCTAGAACCACTTAAGTTCAAAACAGAAAAGATGGAGTAAATGTAACATTTGAAATAGTCTTTTGTAACCATGTAAATCTTCACTGATCAATTTCAAGCATCCTTGCGGAATAAAAAAAAATACATTTCATTAAAAAGAACTGACCCCGAACTTCTGAAAGGTAGTTTACCTAACCCTAAATAAGCACAGAGATGGACTAGATATTTCACTATAAACGATTATCAAGCAGGTCCTAAATAGCGAAAAGCATAAACACAAACAAAATTCAAAATTTTTCCAATTTTATTACATTTTGTACAAGACCGACATCTACTTCAGCTCCTTCACAGCCAGACCTGAAACAAGAGAGAGATGGGTCATATTTACAGTAAGCCTTGAAGAGACAGAGTCCAGGTCTGACACAGCTGTAAGTGTTAGTGAACCGGTGGAACTGAAGTCTCTGGGTGATGCGAAACCCAGCACTTGGTCCATCATTATTCTAGCAAGCGTGTAAATGCACAGTGGGCACAGAACAAGCCCAAAGTGTTTGGACATCTTGCACACTTCTCAAAAATCACAGCATTTCCATAATTTTCCTGTCAGTTGTAAGCACTTTATAAGTTATTTTTTTTCCCCTCCCATCAATACAATTTTAAAGCTTTAATTTCACAGGCCTGGAAATGTTAACATTTCCTATTGTTTGTAAGTTTACTTTTACATTCACATTACAAGATCTGCAACGTGTTCGTTTTTAATCAAACCAAAACAACATTTCTACAGCAAAACATTTAGCACAAATCCTTGAGGTTGATCATTTTTGCAAAAGCATTATCCTGCAACCAGTTTATGGATTTGATTCTCTCTTGGCATTTATAATAACACTATTATGCGTTCTGTCACAATCTCAGGGGTCCCTTTTCACAGTTGCACTGTGGTGAGGGAACAGCTGTATGTGTTACTAAGCGTGAAAGTTCCGAAACTGAAGCTGTAGAACTAATAGAACGTGATGACACAGAAGAACTCATCCACAATATCCACATTGACCGCCACAAGTATCCACCGCCCCCTGCCATCAGCTCCCGAGTCTCACACATGAGCGCGACTTTAGCACTAGATTTAACAACTTTCAGACCCTTTTAGCGGGTTTTTTTTCCATGGAATATTCATACTGACAAACCTAACGACTTTTTTGGATAAACCTTAGCTATGGTTCAGTTGGAAGATTTCACCAGTGCTGTCCCGTGAACGCGAGGGCCTGACTTTCCCAGAGAAGTGTCACCTCTTTCGGCGTCTGTTCTGTGCAGTGAGCGGCAGAGAAGCACCGCAGCCGACTCGTCAATACCAAACAGCGTTTCCAAGCACCTGTCGCTTACTGATCGTTCGGAATTATAAATATGAGCGTAGTTCGTCTGTTAATATCACATGCACTTTTTTGTTTGTTGTATTTTTTAGTTTGTTACTCAGACGCAATATATAGCCAAATATAGTAATATAGCCAAAACAACTGCATAGTGTAGTCTTTAGTGTAGATGCATGCTGATTTTATCAGACGATGCCGCGATTATAAATGAGTGACTCCTGGTTAAGATGTATTGAAAGGGGTCGTGTTTAGTCACTATTTAGTGTGGTATTTTCTGACTATTCACTCATCATGACAGTAAAATAGGGCATTCTAAGTCAATATACTGCAGTATTGACTCTCTCAATCAGTAGAAAATATGGTTAACACCCGGTCATGCATGAAAAAAAAAACCGTCACGTACCGTGAAACCGGTATCATTTTGAAAAAATACCGTGATATACAATTTTTGGTCATACCGCCCAGCACTAAAATGACCCATGATTGGCTTATTAGAAATCAAACTTACACTTGGCATCCTTCCTCCTTGCTGTAAGCAGGAAATCTTTGATTTCTTCAATTTTGCGTGGCTGTAAAGATGAACGCCACATATTAGACATACTACGACATTTAACGTACACGTTACGACTCAATATTTTAAAATAACAACTGTTTCTCAACTGCTTCTTTATGATTATCGGACAAGCCTTTAATATTCTCAATTTAGACTAATTCACTGCTGTATTACTCATTAAAATTCTCTAACATTTCGAGGTTACTCATCAGCGTGACAATCCTCCATTTCACCGCCATTAGCAACCTTCTGCTATCGCGAGAGTTCACTTCAAATAGCTTTCAGCTTAGAACAAATGTCACTAAAACTGATGTACACTAGATTTCTCAATTTAATCAAAAACGCGAACGCAATGTATATATATATATATATATATACATTCTCTCCCTTCTGTTTCTGGAGCGAGTCGCCCCTCCAAGGCAGAAAAACACTTCATTACAACGCTATTCTACACAGCTTCTTGAAAATATTTCGATTAATGACACATGTCTACTTCTTCTTTCACGCCATATATGTATGAAATGTGAATATTGATGGATTGATGCAGATTTACATGGATTCATTTGACGGAGCTACAGTGCTAACACTTACGCGTCCTGCGAGCGAGGGGGGGAAAGGGGCGGGACTTCCGAGTGAAGGCGTTATATAAACCGGCTACGGTGGCTCTAAAGGGACTCTCTGGTCTAAAAAGACTAAACTCACAGTGACATCTACAGGTGCAGCATGAATATATCATTTATTAATATATTAATCGGGAGGCTTTATGGAATATATGGTAACACTTTACAATAAGGTATCATTTGTTAACATTAGTTGATTTATAAACTAACATAACAATGAACAATGCATTTGTTACAGTAGTCTATTTATTAA